CACTTTCAACAGCTCGGTAAGCTCGAGGGTTTAGGCCGCAAGGGTGCTCCAGCGAATTCGTCAATTGGGACTGCAAGGCTGACAGCCGGCGATATGACTCTTCAGGAACAGACGTCACAGTGCCAACCGAACCGCTCTGAGAGGTAATGAGTACTTGCTGGGATATGGTTTGGGAATCTATTTCCATTGAATCTGGGCCGGCCATTGCTTTCTCTGAGGAGGCCATGGTACGTGGCAACAGAGTCATTGTCGTGGCAAAGTGACCCATATGAAACTTGCTGCGGGCCAGCAATCTATCACCGTTAGATGATTTCGGATCTATTTGAAATCAGCATTTACTCTCCTCCGTCGGCTCTATCGATGTTACAAGATCTCACCTTCCGGGTCATACTGCAAGACATGGAGGTTGCAATCACTGTCAGCAACCAGAATGAACAGCTTGTCGCCATCAGGAAGAAAATCGGCAGCAACCACTTCAAGGTACCCTTGGTCTTTGCCAAAGAGGCTCATCTTGTATGGTTCCTCCTAAACCACCCGTTAGCTTGCCTGATCCGCCTGTATGTGTGGATGTAGGGGATCATACCGAGTAGCCTGCGAACCAAAGCCCTTTGACAGCATCCCCCATTATACACATTCCAGTACCTTTGAGCTCTTTCACCAAGTTGACATAACACTGCATATCCATGAAAGCAACAGGGAGCAGACTGCCATCCTCCTTCAGCCCTCTGACCATGCATTTTTGCCCTTGTGCAGCAATTAGAAATCCTTGACCGCCAATCTGTGATAGCGCAGTCACGGCGCCCTTGACCAACTCCTTGCCTATAAGTTTCAGTTTGCGGTCTGTCTCTGGTTTCTCCGGGTCCGGAACCACTTTGATCACTTCGAACACGTAAATACAGCCACGAGACGGGATGTCTTCACCCCGAGCAAATGCTGTTCCGACAACAATCATATTCCTCCGCTCGTGGGTGTTTTCGGAAACTTCAAGGTCCATATTCTTTACCGCCATTACATATTCAGCGGGACCTAGTGAGTAGCTTCACGAAGAAGAAAAGTGTAAGTACTGGAAAATTAATTTGCAAGTTGGTTTAGGTCCACACCTATCGATAACCGTCCATGTTCTCGGACTTACGACTTTGAGCGAGCATTGGCGAAGCTCGGGGAGGAATGAAATTACTAGACCTGTTAACATGCGCATATATGTGACGACAAAAGTCATACCTTCGTTTCGCCAGTCCGGGTGCAATTCATCATCGTCAGGCAACTTGAAATCTGCGTTATGACTGGTACCCAGTACGTATGTTTCAGAGGATGTAGCATAAGCCAAATGATCCACCTGCTCCCCGATACCAATTTTTCTCAAGGCCCATGAATAATCGAATAGGGTCTCTGATGGGAACCGGCAGATGCGAAGCACGTCCTAGGAATTGATTCAGCATGTGCCACATGAAGGTGGGGAAGTGGGAAAACCTTCGAGTCCACATAGATGAAGCCTTTGTCAAGCGAAGGGCTGGCTAAGTGGAAAATGCTCAGGCCCCGCACCAATTCTCCTCTCAAACGAAAAACGTGGGGGCAGCTTTTGGCCGTTTTGAGAATGAAGCTCGCAGACGGTCCAGGCATAAAAACGGCACTAAAATCTGAAATATTGGGCAAAATGCGCAGTGACCTGGACCTTGATATCTCCTCGTTGGACTGCATTTGCTTCTCTGAAGTAGTAACCCTCGGCAATGTGTGATTAGTTTCTTTGACGAAGCTTAAGCGAGTATGACTTTCGCCCTTGGTAGACGACGCAAATGCCTTATATATCACAAGATCATCACTTTCAGTGCGTAACTGCCTAGAACATCAGTACACGGTCCTAACTCGGGGGCCAAGGAAGGTGAAGTGAAAGGGCCTGGCGACGTACAATCAAGTGAGGTGAAGGATTCCAGGATTCGCCGAGATCTGCAATAACCGCCTCGGATAAGACCTCCCGCGTAGTAGAGCGCTTGGGGAGCTCAGTTGACAGTATCGGTGGTAAGCAGTCAATACCCTCGATAATCGACATCAGTTGCTGATCAGGCAATCGATAAATCTAACGTTTGTCAGCATTGGCAAACTTGAGGAAGATGCTGGTGTGACTAAAGTCACAATGACTTACGTAAAGTCTGCAATCTATGCTAAGTAGGAAGAGGAACAACTCGCAATGAGTCTTCTGCTTCGAAGTAGGCACCGTAGACGTGAAAATCTCAGCTTTGTCCCAATATAAGCAACAAGAGCGCCATTTGCCCGCCCTCGCAGAGTCGTTCAATTCCACCTCATCAAGGTCTCCACTATCATCTGCTTGAAGAAGCATCAACGTTGAATCATCTCGGAGGATTGCTATGTATGGGTCAGCCAGGCTGGCGCTAACAGCCATGCGCTCATCGCTGGTGTCTTCGTCCCAGACCGGATAGATTTGCGCCAGGCCCAAGTCTGTCATTGTTAGTTTCCTTATATGCTCCTTACTCTTCAGGGCTAAAGGCTCACCAATATCGTAGCTTCGGACCTCGTTCCTCAGGACCTGAACAACTCGCCTTTCGCACGACAGCGTCCCAATTTCTATGGTCACATCGTTGTTCGGATTAAACTCAGGAGCTTTGAAAGGTTTCAAGTCTTGTGTGTCCGCAATGAAAACTTCTGACTGTTCCTTGTCGGGAGCTTCAGGCTTCGCCAGTATAACATATTGGCGGTATTCTTGATTGATTTGCTGCTCATCAGGGACCACCGGTGCACCGCTTCCAAGAGCTACAACTGCTGTCCACACCCCTTGAACAGACTGAGCGTCAAAAGAAGCTGCGACATCCGGTTCGATTTCGCGCTTCATCTGTACCAACCCACCATTTCTGCCAGAGCCATGAGCAGCTACTAATTCAAGCTCGGAGCAAGCATTCTCAATGAGACGGCCTGTGTTTTCGACAGTCGAAGCAGGTTTTCCTAGCGTTATATCTCTCAGGGGGCCGATATTAGGCAATCTGTCGAGTACCTGAAATTTATACACCCCGACTCCGGACGTTTCAGCGGATGGACGACGACCGAGAGCTGGCGTTTCAGGCTCTGCAGTATAGAGGTCGTCTTCATAAACATCCTCTTCACTTTGACTATCGTCTGAGGCTTCTTCACGATCTTCTGCCACATTGCTCATTCTTGGTCGAGGTTTTTTTGAATTTGAGGACATGGAGGACCAGCTGAGAAGGACAGAATCTGCATCCTCGCTGCCCAAAAATACTCTGCCGCTTCCAAGAAAAGCTGAGGATGATGCAGCAGCTTTCATGATAGTCCCCCCAGCCTGTGCAGGTAGAGGGCGGAGTGAGATGCCTGACACTGACCTTCCGTCCAATTGGAAATGGACAAGCACCATATTCCCCGACGAAAGAACGAGAAGCAGATCCCCTGTGCTGTCAGAAAGATGCTCCACAACGCATCCTTCTAGCCGGAGTGCGAGGTCTGACTGATCTACCATGGAGAATGCCGAGACTTGTCTGGCGAACTCATTAACTCCAACTGCATTGGTTTTGCCTGCCTGATCGACGTGCACTAATTCATTGGACCCGATAAGTAACGCGCCTCCAACTGGAGGTGGAAGGGCAACCACTTTGAACAAGTCGCTAGGCAATTTCGGTACCGACAGTAAAGTCGTGGAAGCTCGCTGTTCCAAATCTAGTGTAAACACAGTGTAAAAGATAGAATCTTTTCTTTCAGGGAGCAAAGCATGTGACGTAGCAATCTGCGAGTACAGGATGCCGAACGTCGGCTCCCTATATTCATATAAGAACGCAAGACTGACAGGGTGAAGTATAGACGGATCCAATGCAGTTAAGGGAAGCACAAAAGACGAGGCATATGGGGTCTGATACACGGTGCGGTCTTTGCTCTTCAAAGCATTGCCAACGTGATCCGGTACCTGGTTGAGATCGTCTTGATGAAGATCGAATTCGTACTCGTCCATGGCTAGGTCATCTCCTGGTTGATGAAAGGGTAAAATTGCAAGATTCCGAATCCCAAAGTTGAAGACTGCACATCTACTGCTCGGATCCACGCTCAGGATACTGCCACAACTGCTCAGGTCGGGTACCCATGGACTACGGGTTAGATCATCCCGCTCATAGTAATGGATTGAAATGGTTGAGATCCCACGACGCTCTGGGTCCCATTCCACCAAGCTAAGTTTGGCATTGCGGAAAGCAAGTAAAAGAGCTTCACCGCCGCTCTTAGGATCCAGAATTTTGACCCGACAGATGTCGACTACTGTTCCAGAAAGCGGATATTCTCGCTCCAGGACGAGCTTCGTTGTCTCTACCTGGTCTGGCCGCGCAGACTTACCCTCAATGGTTCCCCCTCTCGGGTGATGTTGAACCTTGAGCAAAGAGAAGATCTGGAGAACAGAGGTCTTCACCACGACCAGATTTTCCGCTGTTGCTGAGATAAATGGAATTGCCAGGGCATGAGTTACCCCGGAAGGGGTAACAATTCTGTATAGCACTGCATTTTTTGTGTGGCCGATTGCTATGGTTTTCCCTGCTAGAAACCTTTATCAACCTAAAATAGTCCAGGAATAATCAAGAAGACTATACATTGCAAAGTCAAGGGCAAGAATTGGGATTTAGAGAATGAAGGAAGGGTGGCCATAGGCTGATGATCTATACAGCTGTGTCTGCTGTGTTTTGAGTATTTTGCCAGTCCTGCGTGATCTGTCACGTGATCCGTCGGGCTTGTTATGTTGATGATGTAATTGATAATATCCATGCCCCTGCAGAGTTGTAACTTGTGCACCCAGAACACCATGATCGCTCATTGTTCTCATCATTGTTACCACCTTTATCACAACTGCTGATCAGAGAACCGCTGAAGTATAGTGGTGTGTTCTGCTCCACAAAGCCTGTGGAGTATCTATTTCGCCAAAGCTAACATATATGGCAAGCATTGTCGCCCGTCCGTTTTTGCTTAGTTGGATTTCTTAAAGGCTTTGCAAACATGCCACAATGCCTCTCCCATGGATTTCCCTAATTTGGTTTGCGTATCTAATAGTGATAACTGTTTTGATTGTTGTTGCCTCGGTCTTTATACATGTATATCAGACACCTCGGGATCGATCCTCTTTTGTGACCTTTATCTGCGTCTTTTCCATTGCCGCTCTTCTTGCGACTGTAATGTTACTACCAGTTGATGTCGCTTTGGTTTCCTCAACGACATCATCCGCTCTGGGTCAGCGAAAAGAGTGGGCCACCCAAGAAGAGGTCGATAAAATCACCTACTCCTTAACAGTTGTCTATTACTCGCTATACTTCCTGGATGCTCTGCTCTGCCTTGTTGGAATTCCTTTTGCCTACTTCTGGCACGAGGAATATGATGAAGTAGCCGTCGAGACGGGCGATCAGACAGCCGGCAAGCGGTTTTGGGCTGCTGCCAAATACACTCTGGCTTTCATTGTAGTAGTCATTGCGTTGGTTCTTGTCGGCTTCTTCGCTCCTATGTTGGAGAGTCAACCTGGCCACGATCTGGGGTATTGGCGAGGATTTTTGATCGAGAACCGTGAGTTTGATGCCTTTTCGGATGACGACTTTCTTCTCAAAACGCTCATGATGTCCTACAGGAGGTGAACATGCCTTTACATTTCTCCTTGGGTTCGTAACGACCATTGGCTCTTGTCTATATGTCTTCTATACACCTTCAGGGCTAGCATTGCTTCCGGCGCTTCTTCTCAGAAAACCCTATTCTTTCGCAAACCAAACATTGGTAGGTTCTACAGCCATGCAACTGGATTTCAATCGTGAACGTCAACGCCAATTGGAAGGTCGCTGCGGGGGTAATTCGGCGCTTCTATCTCCAAAAGACCGAAGAGAATTGGACACTTTGGTGCGGGAAGAGAGAACTCTCATCCGCCGGCAGCGCTTGATCGAAGAACGCCAAGAAGAAGACCAAAGCTGGCCAGTCACCGTTTACTCCAAACTGAAGACTATCCTCCGTCCATTCAGGCTTCTGGGCGGCTTCTGTCTATTCCTCGTTGGGCTCTCGACGTGGATCTCATTGCTCATGACCGTTATTGATAAGTTGATAAATTCGCCTTGCAAGCATCACTGTGGTTATGTAGTCAGCCGTACCAACTTCAACCCTATCAGTTGGCTTCTTATTCAGTCTTCCAGGGCTTTTCCAACTGACTATATCATTTTTGCGCTTATTGTCTTCTTATTCTTTTGGGGCTCGGTTGTCGGCGTTGTCGCAGTGGGCATTCGGTTTCTTTGGATACGAATTTTCCAAATTAGGAAAGGTCACACGTCGCCCCAGGCCATGTTGCTGGCGACAGCCATGCTGACGTTGATAACCCTGGGCTTGAATTACTCGGTTGTCATGATGCTTGCACCCCAGTACGCAACATTTGGACCGCAAACTTTCTGCGACTCAACCCCGAGGTCTTCAGAAGAGCAGCCGGATTGCTCAAACCACAGGCATTTAGTCAAGCCATGTCCAGAGAAGGCAGATAGCACAGCTGCAGATAAGACCTGCACGCCCAGCGTCGCAAGCACCATTTTAAATCGGGTGGCGCTGAATTTTCCACTTTTTGGTGCCTTGCTGTTTTGGGCACACTTTCTTTTCCTTGGTATTTGGCAGACCTGTCACAAGGCACTTTGTTTCTTGTGCTGCAAACTTGGAAGCTAACGATAGTGAAAAAATAGGTATCTACTTAGTCATCCTTGTGGCATCTCTCGTCCGCTCGCCGAGACTCGACGAACGCCAGCTGGATGAGGACGCCGAAGAGGCAGAGGAAGAAAGTCTGTTGGCAAGCACCGGAAGAAGTGGCAATCCTACATGAGGGGACGTCCCAACGCTTCCAGAGAGTCCGCTACTTCGAATAATGAACGTTTATTTGGAAAAGGTTTTCTTGATTCAAGAGGTGATAACAAGGAAAAGACAGCGGATATGGTGATTTTCGCCAAAGGATTATAGCCTTATACCACGTGATTTATAGTGTTACCTCTCGGCTTCCCTCATTATACTCCCCTTTGTGACAGTCGGAGTTTACGAGATACCGTCGTCGAGCCTCCGTATGGTAACTTTCAAGTGGGCAGGTCTGAATTTCAAGGGAGCCTCTCTGGAAGTGTCCTTCAACTTGATATACCTAAGACTTTGGGGCATTGTTCAGGAGAGCGAGAGCACTTTCGAAAGCCTTCACAACGTCGGCATCTGCATGGATATGTTAGCACGGCTTGGCTGGCGGCAATTGTTGTACTCTCGCACAATGTTTTCTCCTATTTTCTAAATCCTCTTCGGAGGTCTGCACATGCTGCGACTGGGTTTTGAATCTAGACGTAAGTCAGCTGAACTGTCGGCTAGCTGTGAGGGTACAGGCCGAGACCTTTTCAGCGCTCTGCTTTCATCACGAAGAACACTAGATTGTGACCAGGCCGTAAAAATCTAGACCAGCAATGTCAGAGAGATGGGTCATGGCTTAGAAAGGTACAAGGTACCTCAAGAAGCCTCAAAGATCGAGCCCGCAACTCTTCCTCAGCATCCCCATGTTGTTTCATAATATCTGAGTATATTTGTTGAAGTTTCGTCCAGTGGCATTGTGACAAGTCTTCTGCCAACTGCCGTCTGACTTGTGGAACATTATGATGCTCATCCAAACTCTTCTGCTGATCCGGTCTGGATCCATGATTGCCGTAGACAATAGAAGCTTTGACGTGGGTTCCACCCAGTGAATCCATCTTTACATACAGTGCCTTATCACGACACTTCTTCTCAAATGTTGTATAACTAGAGCAAAAGATAAAAGGTCAAAAGTCGAGTGGGATGATTGTTTGCTCGCAGGATCTAAATTTCAAACAGCTCCTCTTACCATGCTGTCACTCCTGCCTCGCTAATAACATGCTTCAGCATTGAACAGTTCGTGGGAATCACCAGTTCTGCCAGATAGCAAAGCAGAGTGCGCGGCCGCCTGAGGCATCAAGTGCAGAGTAGTATCATGTGACGTCAACGTTCGAAGACATACCGCACCTCCAACCTTGGCCTGCTACAAGAAACATTTGACTGCTGGGAGTCATGAACCATTATTTTTCGATTTCATACACTTTCTTGATGACTATGAGTTGCCTAGCAGGCAAAGCGAGATTCATAGACTAACAGGAGGGCGCAAGAATGTGAGCTATCTGCTGACGGCACGATAGCATAATAAACAGTACGTTTGAGATGAATTGTCCTATTTGCTTTCGAGTCTCAAGCTCGCGCCTACGCTTTTATTGTCCCACCTGTGCCTGTAACCAACTATACACACTACGTATCGATAATGCCAGGGTTCTCCTGGAGAAGGAAATCTTAGGACGGCAGCTCGAGAAAGCACTTCTGCATCAGACATCTCCTACTCTCTCCCATCGTCGCTCTGAAGAATGCTCAACGCAGTCGCCGAACAAGGTGCCCTGTCCTCAAGATGTCTTGCAAATTATAAACGCAAAAGCCGAGTCTTCCACCCGGAGGAAAGAGCTTGCGCTTCAGATCCAGCAACTGAAATCCGAGATTAAAGACAGGCAACTTGGCATTTCTCAGCGGAGGTTGACATTAGCCCGACGACGTTCAGATGCTGAGTCTTCAAAGTTTCAGCTGGAAAGTCGCGAGATAGCTCTGCTATGTGGTGTCCAGAATACCATCAAAAGGACGGAGCATCTCTGGCATTCCTTGCACAGCAAGACAGCAGAGGCTCGAATCTTTCTTTGCCGCGAGGTTGCGAATCTATACAGCCTAAGACAGTGGATAAAGCAGGATGGCAGTGAAACGAAGGAGACATACGTAATTGGCAGTGTTCCTATCATTGATCTCCGAGACCTGAACGGGAAGTCGCAAACCTGCCCCTCCTCCTGGATATGCCAACACGAAATATTAATGCCCAAATAGGTGCCACTGCAGTCCAAATATCAACATCATTCTCTAATATTGCTCATCTTCTAGTCCTCGTTTCACATTACTTATCTTTGAGGCTTCCGGCGGAGATTACCCTTCCTCATAGAGACCATCCCGTTCCCACGATTCATGCACCTATTGGGTCGTATACCTCACGGCAGTTGATCTTGACAGCCACCTCAGCGCAGCCACATAACCCCACTTCATCTACAGCACACCCATTAGGCTTTCAGTCTAATCATTACCAACCTCGACCTCTCACTATCGATAGAAGTTTACCAAAGCTCGCTAGGGAAGACCCAGGGTCATACGTCCTTTTCCTAGAAGGAGTTACATTGTTGGCCTGGAACGTTTCCTGGCTATGTCGTACGCAAGGACTCAATATCGCGTCGGACTCTTGGGAAGAGATCTGCGATATTGGGAAGAACATGTGGCAGCTACTTGTTGCTCCTCCGCTGGAAGCGGCAACTCTGATGAGAGCATTTGCTGGCCGAGAAACGCAGCCCATGAAGCTCTTAAGAGACCCTCCTAGAACTTCTATCCAAAGGACCATATCGTTCCCCATGATGGGGCATTACTCACATGGCACTGTGCATTCATTCCTGGGTGCTTCGGAAGGTACGGAGTTCGTTAGGACGTGGAGACTGCCGATCCCGCTCAAGGTTATCGACAAATTGAAATCAATGCTCCTGGGAGAGATGGCGAGCGCGGAATGGGAAGTTCTCGAGGAGAAAGAGTGGAATGATAGTGAACAGATTTCGACGAGAGCGCCTGCCCAAGGGTCGAGGTCGCAGCCTGGAGACGACGTAATGCCGGACAAGAATTATGTCAGTCATTTGGCATCAGCTAGTGGTGGCCCTAATGAATTAGATAGCACCAGCCGCCCACGGGGAAGTAGTGGCTGGACTAAATTGAGAAATCGATAACCTGATCGTTACTATATTTGGGATCCTAATCATTACCCACCTAACGATTTGCCTTTAATGGGGAGACTTGGGTAGGAAAAAAAGTTGGGTGAAAGCAATTTATTGTTGTTGAGGCATGATTTACAGCTTGCAGTATTGATTAGCAACGTAGCTCTAAACGCAGACGGACCGAAGCACCATTGAATGAATGGCTTTCTCAACCCAAAAGAGAAGAAATAAAACCGATGTTAACCTAGAGCATTGAATGAAACGTGAGTTTGCAGCAGACTGGAAGATCTAATGATTGATAAGATAACAAGCATCCACGCCCGGATTATCCTTTCACCTCTCACTACCTCTCATCCGAGCCACATAATTGCTACCTACTCTACTCCATACAAAGACAGGTAAGACATCGTCCGTTCATCTCTGGCTCGCAACTACTGTCTTATTTATTGGTTTGACAATGGTCCCTGTTCCTTAGCACACTCTCCTGTTCTCTAGTGTTACCACTCAAGCTTCTCAATCAAAATACAGAGGCCTGCTGTCCAAATAGTGTGTCAACCTCACTCTGTTCGGGTCATGGCATTGATCAAATCCTAAGAAAGGCTCGAATCAAGATGGGCCAGCTTACGCAATGGCCACAGTCAGACATGGCAGCTTCTGGTAAGTATTTTCCAACTAACATATTTCATACTCGTATCACTTAAGGAGCTCATTTGCATTGATAACGATTCTCTGGTCGTTGCAATTTCGGTGTGGTAATGATTATATCCACTAATACTCCATCTTCTTTGTTGCAGCTCTCAATCGAAGTATCCCTCTAGTCTCAGTCTTACCTGATTCCGTTCTCCGGGCAGAGCTTATTCGGAGGAGCGAAATTCGGGGATCGACCAGCGATCGAGTAGCTTGCGGTTCGAAGGAGAAAGGCGCCTACAACACCCAAATACATGTGCTGGCATTGTTCCTTATTCTGGTTTTGAGCACATTAGGTATTGTTTACATCTGGAAACGTTGATATTGTCTCAAATATACTAATCATATATTAGCATGTTCATTTCCAGTTCTCGCACGTCGATTTCCACGGCTACCGATACCGCGCCACTTTCTTTTCATCTCCAGGCATTTTGGAACGGGGGTCTTGATTGCCACAGCTTTCGTTCACTTGTTACCCACGGCATTTGTCTCTCTTACGGATCCTTGCCTTCCTCGTTTTTGGTCGGAGACCTATCGTGCAATGGCTGGATTTGTTGCCATGATATCGGTTTTTCTGGTTGTCGTCGTAGAAATGTTTTTCGCTACAAAAGGTGCTGGTCATGTTCATGGGAGCGAGTATGATCATTTAATTGGCAGTGTTGGGCGGGGTTCTAGCGAGTCTGTTCGTGATGACGCAAATTATCTGAGGCTTGGCCGTCATCACTCGACAGAGAACCTACGCCTTAATCTCATTCAAGCGAATAGTTACGCGGATGGAGCGCAGGAGCACTCCAGTTCATTGTCCCGGATGTCAACAGATGGTGTCGAACAAGGACGGTCTAAGAAAATGAACCCTAACAGTGAAACCGGCGACACTCAATATGGAGACATCGACTCTCTGGACAATCACAGTGATTCTCAAGTCTCTGACTCACATCCTCGCTACCTGCAATCCCAACGACGTGATTTGCCTCCAAAACCGAGTCCCGGGTTACCAATGCAAAGCCCGCAGCGTCAGTTACTGCAATGTCTTCTCCTCGAGGCTGGTATCCTCTTCCACAGTATCTTTATCGGCATGGCCCTCAGTGTCGCCACTGGGACGTCATTTATTGTCCTTCTTGTGGCTATCTGCTTTCACCAAACTTTCGAAGGTTTCGCCCTTGGATCGCGTATTGCATCCTTGATACCAGACCTTTTTTCACCGTCGTCGCCGAAGCCCTGGCTTATGTCGCTTGCCTACGGAACTACAACACCCGTTGGACAAGCTATCGGCCTAGTTTTGCACAATCTCTATGACCCTGCAAGCACCACGGGCCTGCTCATGGTTGGCATCACGAATGCAATCAGCAGCGGGTTATTACTCTTTGCTGGACTTGTGGAACTCTTAGCGGAGGACTTTCTAAGTGAGTCTAGCTACGCGACACTCAGGGGTCGGCGGCGTATTGAGGCCTGTATAGCCGTCGCGAGCGGAGCTCTGCTGATGGCATTCGTGGGCGCCTTTGCCTAGATTTTAGTCAGAATCTGTCTTGTATCTTTTTGTAGATATTGATCGATATAGACTGCTTACAGCTGCTAGCCGTCATGTGCGATACGTTACGCAGACTTGGTTTTACATTTTCGTATAACTGTCTCTAGCTTTATGTAAATGTCCGAGGCGCGGGTCAAACGCTCTCTAAACATAAGTGCAGGCGTCAGAACCGAGGGCTTCGTGTGAATAGCGTAGAATCTCCATCATGCTACTTTCATTTCCGTCCAAAGGAGCTCATATTAGGTAAAGCATGCCGCCTTGACACTATCAATTAACCCAAGGGATCAAACTTCACACTAAGATGGTGTGAACTACATCACTCTAAGCTCAGATATTGCCAGCACAGATAGTCTAGTAGACGTTTCTAGTCGTTTTCTGAACAAGCATGGCATATGTATATTCCAGCACAGAGAGTAGGGACCAAAGTTGATCCTTCATGAGCTAGGGGATATCGACACTTTCATGCAAACAGTCCCAGGACCACAGATCATGTGCACGCTATGATATATTCACTCGACACATATGGACAAGGTCAAAAATACATCTAAAGTAGCTCGACCACCAGAGCACTAGCCCCACCGCCGCCGTTACAGATGCCAGCACAGCCAATTTTTCCTTTCTTGGCCTTCAAAACACCGAGCAAGGTGGTTATAATACGCGCACCACTAGCACCGATAGGGTGACCGATAGCGACGGCTCCACCATGAAGGTTAACCTTTTCCTCAGGAATGCCAAGTAACTTCATATTGGCGAGAGCAACAACGCTGAAAGCCTCATTGATCTCAAAAGCATCAATGGCGTCCTGGCCCACACCTGCGTGTTTGAGCGCTTTCGGAATTGCAAGAGCTGGAGTAGTCGTGAATTTGCTGGGTTGCTGAGCAGCGTCTCCCCATCCAAGGATCTTCGCAACCGGCTTCAAATTGAGCTCCTTCAACTTGGCCTCTGAAACAAGGATAACAGCAGCAGCGCCGTCGTTGAGAGGAGAAGAGTTAGGCGCCGTCACTGTCCCAGAACCAGGTATAAACGCAGGCTTGATGGCTCGAAGTTTCTCCGGGTTGAGCTAAGGACTCAATGATCAGTCTGACATGAACGCAACGCGTCGGATGGAGATGCTCACATTCTTCGGTTCTTCATCTTGCGTCACAGTCACACCTGGTTTTCCTCTAAATCCAGGAAGCTGGATAGGGGCAATCTCTTCGTCGAAAAGCCCAGCCTTCTGGGCAGCCTGAGCTTTTTCATAGGTGCGGATAGCATAATCATCCTGTTGTTCCCTGCTAAAACCATGATCTTGGGCGCACTCCTCCGCTTGTAATCCCATGAGTTCCTGCTTGCCCGCGTCAGTCAAGCCATCCTTCATGATGCCATCCACCAGACTTTGATGGCCGTATTTAGCACCAGTACGCAGATTTGGGAGATAGTGCGGTGCGTTCGACATCGATTCCGTACCGCCAGCCACAACGACGTCAGCATTTCCGGTCATGATAGTCTGAGCACCGAGTATGATCGCCTTCAACCCGGATGCGCAAACCTTGTTGACGGTGGTACAAACGGTCGACTCTTCAAGCCCAGCACCAAGCGCACATTGTCTAGCAGGATTCTGTCCGACACTGCAGAATGTCATCAGTACCCGCTTGTGATAGATTCAGAACGCTCACACAAGGCTCAGCTCACTTCGCAGAAATGACATTACCGAAGAAGACCTCCTGCACGTCCGAAGGCTTAAGTCCGTCAACTTTGGCAAGAGCAGCTGTTTCCCACCATTAGAAAGATCGAATCCATCAGGAGACCTTTTTTAGGAAACGCGCTATGAACTTATAACATACCCTTGATGGCATGGGAACCAAGCTGCGGGGCAGTCAAGCTTGAGAGCGAACTATGCAGTTGAGACAAAGGTCAACCTCATTCTTCAAGTGAAACAAGCCACGAATTATGAAGTCCTACCCCAAGAAAGACCCCACCGGTGTTCGGGCGGAAGAAACAATATAGACAGCTGGAAGCGAAGACATAGTAGTCATTTATTTTGTTCAGACTTTCTAAGTAGCAAAAGAGTCTGATCCAAGCCTTGAAGAGGGCACCGCGACAATAACAATTCGCTGGGCGTCAGCCTGGAGGTCTATTCTCTTAAATCTAGACCAATTTATAGAGAATGTCTCCAAAAGATGCCAGATGAAGAATCGGCGAATCCAGGGTGGGGGTTGTAGGAAAATATAAGCCCAGAGGTCAACCTCCCCTTTTAGAGCAAAGCGGGGGGCGGACATTCGCGTGTGGTAACTCAGAAGGGTTGGCCAAGCCCGGGCCACTCGGCGAGTACCCAAATCGGACCTACCGAAGCAGACAGCCTTTTTTGGTTTGAACAAAGAAGGTATCCGCTCCAACGTCTGGAGCCAGGTCTGTCCAGATTCAGAATTTATTCGCGCAATGGAGGATCTTTATGATGAGTATGCCATATGCAAATAAAGACTTATACAAATAGAACTTAACTAATCTGGCTCTAGGTTCGGCAATTACATTGGAGAGCCTGCGGACTCTGACGAGGAAAACCAAGATGAAGAGCTCAAGCCGCAGGCGTTTGCTTTCGACGAAGCATTTGGAGAGGAAGAAGATGAAAACCAGAATGCAGATCAATTGATGGAGGTTGACGGTATTTCATATCTCTCGAAGCATTACTACCTCACACTCGTTCTGACTTCGTATGCAGAAGGCCCTTCGAATGCGGTCGTCCTACATGAAGACAAACAATATTATCCTAGTGCAAAGCAAGTCTACGGTGATGAGGTTGAAACCTTGGTCCAAGAGGAGGACTCGCAGCCACTTTCGCAACCCATAATCGCTCCCGTTCAGCAGAAGAAGTTTTCGATCGAGGAGGCCGAGCTGCCACCGGTTCATTTCTCGCGAGAGTTTATGACAGACTTGCTCAGTTTCCCTAGTCAAATAAGGAACATCGCGCTTGTTGGCCATCTTCACCATGGGAAAACAGCGTTTATGGACATGCTTGTGACGCAGACACATGATTTGACAGAGCGTCTGGAGAAGCGAGTAGGCAAGCGGAAGGAGGAACAGCTCCGCTATACCGATATTCACTTCTTAGAGCGAGAGCGGGGTCTCTCTGTAAAGTCGGCACCTATGACTTTAGTACTCCAAAACACCAAAGGAAAATCTCACCTTGTCAATATCATTGACACTCCCGGCCATGTGAATTTCGTGGACGAGGTGGCCACATCGTCTCGGCTCGTCGACGGAATAGTGCTGGTTGTGGATGTCGTCGAAGGCGTGCAAGCGAACACGGAACAGATCATTAAGCACGCCGTGCTGGAAGGTCTTCCCATAACGATGGTCGTGAACAAGATGGACCGGCTGATTTTGGAGTTGAAGATTCCGCCGAATGATGCTTACTTCAAGTTAAAGCACGTGGTCGAAGAGGTAAACACTATTATCGAGAGGATTCTGCCCGGGCAAGGGGAAAGGTATCGACTGAGCCCTGAAAAGGGTAATGTTGCCTTTGCATGTGCCTCTATGGAGTGGTGTTTTACCCTACAATCTTTTGCCAAAATGTATGCCGAGACTTATCCCCAAGTCGAAACGTCTGACTTTGCCTTGCGTCTTTGGGGGGATATTTTCTTCAACCCAGGAAGCCGAAAGTTCACTCGAAAAGGAGTGGAAGAGAATTCCAAACGGACATTCGTTCAATTCGTCCTGGAGCCTATTTATAAACTCTACTCTCACACCATAAGTGAAAGTCCAGATGACCTGAAAGAAACGCTTGCAGGTGTGGGTATCAACTTGAAGCCGTCGCAACTCAAATCAGATGCAAGGGTGCTACTCAACATGGTCTGCCATGAGTTCTTTGGTCCTGCCACTGGCTTTGTGGACATGATCGTGCAGCATATTCCCTCCCCAGTAGAAGGAGCCCAAAGAACACTCGACAGGTACTATACCGGCCCCCTTGATACGAAAGTTGCAGCCGCCATGGCGGCCTGTGACCCGGACGGGCCGCTTGTCGTCCATGTCACAAAGCTATTTATCAGCACGGATGCTACCAAGTTCCATGCGTTTGGAAGAGTCATGAGCGGGACGGCGCGCCCTGGTCAACCGGTCAGAGTGTTGGGCGAGGGCTATACACCTGAGGATGAGGAAGACATGGTCACAGCGACTATATCGGATACATGGATTGCAGAAACCTGCTATAGCATCCCAACCAGCGGTGTTCCTGCGGGAAACTTCGTTCTGTTAGGTGGTGTGGACAATTCCATCGTCAAGACTGCCACAATTGTCCCTTTGAGGCTGGAAGATGACGAGGAAGCATACATCTTCAGACCTATTCGACACATGACAGAGTCTGTCTTCAAGGTTGCTGTTGAGCCGGTTAACCCATCAGAACTTCCCAAAATGCTTGACGGGCTGCGGAAGATTAATAAAAGCTACCCTCTCATCTCAACGAAAGTAGAAGAGTCCGGTGAGCATGTGGTCTTGGGAACCGGAGAACTTTACATGGATTGTGTGCTCCACGATCTTCGAAGACTTTATTCGGAGATGGAGATCAAGGTGTCCGACCCTGTCACCCGTTTCTGCGAAACTGTCGTTGAGACTTCAGCTATCATGTGCTATTCTATCACGCCAAATAAGAAGAATAAGATTACGATGATTGCGGAGCCCTTGGATGATGGGATTGCCGAAGACATCGAGAGCGGCAGAGTCAGCATCAAAGATCCAATCCGCAAAGTAGCGAGGTTCTTTGAAGACAAATACGATTGGGACAAGCTCGCAGCTAGAAGTATCTGGGCTTTCGGCCCTGACGAGATGGGTCCCAATATACTACAAGACGACACGCTACCATCGCAAGTGGACAAGAAGCTACTTGGAAATGTCAGGGATTCCATCACACAAGGTTTCAGCTGGGGCACACGGGAAGGCCCTCTTTGCGAGGAACGTAAGTCTTCTGGTTGCTTTTTGTTTGCTCGGTCCTTTTTCGTTCTTCCCCAACAATCTCCCCCATCATTTCTCCTCCCCTCTCGAACCCCGTGATTTTCCTTCCTGTCGAGGCACTTCCTATATTTTCAAACTATGACCATACATGGAGACTAATTTTGAGACAGCAATACGAAACACGAAGTTCAGGCTCACAGATGTATCTCTTGCTGACCAGGCCATTTACAGGGGAGGTGGTCAGATAATCCCTACGGCCCGACGTGCCGTCTACTCCTCCTTCCTCATGGCATCACCTCGCTTGATGGAACCCATATATTCTTGCACCATGACAGGGCCTGCGGATGCTGTGGCTTCGGTATATACAGTGCTCTCACGCAGAAGGGGTCATGTTCTGTCAGACGGGCCAATTGCTGGGACACCGCTGTATACGGTGCAAGGCTTGATTCCCGTTATTGACTCTTTCGGGTTCGAAACGGATCTCAGAATTCATACTCAAGGTCAAGCTGCGATCAGTCTTGTGTTCGATCGATGGAGCGTCGTTCCAGGCGATCCGCTGGATCGCGAAGTCAAGACAAAGCCACTCGAGATGGCGCCCACGATGGCCACAGCGAGGGATTTTGTATTGAAAACAAGGAGACGGAAAGGTTTGGCAGAAGATGTGACAGTGAGTAAATTTCTGGAACCGGAGCTCTGGAAAGGCCTGAAGGAAAGTGGCGTTTTGGATTCATGACGGGCTCGTTCCCTGTCAAACCGAATGAGAAGGGCATACCACAAGTATCGATCTATCATGTAGACGTAATGTCGAAAATTTGAAGCAACGTATTGCCGAGTCAAAGAATAGGCCTGCGAACGCCACAGTCTGGCGACACTGCGTTTGAAACCTGAGCTGGTCACGCAGCTAACTTCTGATTACTGGCATGTTTCCAGCATCTTGGCGATAACGCCCATCAATGTTCCGTTTTCGAGTGCAGCTGCCACTCTTTCCTTATCGCCCAGTTGCTTGTTAACCTCATCGGCGGTACTATGTGTTCCCTCCTTGATCCGCACGTCCACACGGAACCTGGGTGGAAGTGACTGTTCAAGCCGCACACGTACACCGAGACCAATAACAGTAGCCAGGCTACAGTGTGTGATTGTGGGGGTTATGAGAACTGTGACAGTGCGAAGGGGGATCCGGGTACATGGGGAAGAGATGGCTTGATCATAATATCTGCAAGTGAGACAACAGCTAGTGATCCCAGCGAAATTGGATGTTCTGGGTCAGATATGGTTGAGACGAGGTCTAAGAAATGATTAGACATACATTCATCATTTAGTTCTTCTTCCGAGTGCAGCCACCACAGGACCAATCAAAAAGAAACCATTCACTTTCTTACCAAAAATCTCTTGTTCGTCTATGGGCTCATCTGACATGTCATTATCCTCTTCAGAGTCTGGGTGTGAATTCAGGGAGAAGGAATCGGCCGACTGCCCAAGCGACTGAAGTGTGGAACTGAAGACATCAGTTCCATAAGCATAGGGCTTCTGCGGCGCCTTGGGTAGCCGAGTTGGCAGATCAGCGGCATTCAAGATTATCGGATTCGAGTTCTGCATTTCAGAGGCCATTTTGTATTGGCAAGCCTGAGAGTCAGCGGTTTCGTAGCGGTTTCGTAGCGTTGAGAGAATATGCTGAACCGTCAGCAGTTATTACAGAAGAGTGGGGGAGGCAATATTTTATGTAGTCTAGGCATGCTTCCACCAAAAGCTAGCTAGATGCCAAGTTCCACCCCACCAAGTACTCGGATAGATAGGAACCTACGAGGCTACCACACCGGAGCAGACACCATCTACTAGTCTACCAGCGACACAGGGACCCTGGTACTAATCAGGACCGTGAAACCGATGAATTGGTAAGGTAGACCGTGCACAAGGATATACTGTATTAGTTACACTGAACTTTGGTGGTAGTGTGCAAAAAGACAATTCAATACACATACCTTACCGACGACTGTTCATCAGGTTATGTTCCAGAGGATGCTGAATCCATTAAAGAGCATCTTGCGGATGCTTCTCCAATAGTAATCATATTGCTGTTGAACCCTTCTTTCACATATTCTAATAGTTGCTTTCAAACCGATAGGATGGCTACATGTCCTTTGCTGCGAGAGGATAATCTCGATGTATATTTAGATAGATCCTCCCGATCACTTGTTGGAGCAACCTGAGCACGACCCGGGGATGCCTCGTAGCTTACCTTTAGAAACAGGAGTAGAAATCGATGCGCAGTACTCGACCTTTATCAAAACAGAGCGGATTTCAGGGCGCCTAGTATTTACTTTAGGTATTGCTGCTATCTACCTAGGTAATGAGCAAGTGGTCTTGAAAGAATGGGTATGAGGTTTCTGGTACAGAGTACTAAGGTAAATCTACGTTACCCAAGATTGTTAATTTTCTCGACTTATCGGAATAATCAGCATTACCATTACCCCTCCAGTACCTTAAATTTCTCGGGTAGACTTGAATCACTCAATAGGCTCTTTTTCCGCCCGCCCACATCCATCTCTGCGGCACCCGCCACTCTCAAATCACGGATGATCATTTGACCAATTTCTACTAGACTAAGGAAGGTACTATAGGGTATCTATCTTAGCATCTGTCTACTTTCTGGGTTCTGCCTCTGTGTGCAGCACCCCGCAGAACATTGATATAACCCCAGAAATACTTAGTGTGCGTGGCCAAGAGTTAATAGCTGAAGTTCAAGCGCAGGCAAGTACAGTAGCGGAGTTGTCCATTCATCATCTACATAATACTCAGAGTACCCGACCAATCTCTCCATGTGGAAATTCGCGTTGTCGCCGATCCCCTAGTCTAATCCTCTGATCCATTATCTCACTGCCCCTCGTTACCTGAATTCTGCTGTGCAACCCCCTGTGGCTTTTGTATTTCTTGGCCGCCTGACTGTATTGATTAGCGTTGATCCCGACCTCGATCTTTGCTACTTTGAAACCTATCCGCTCCGGGAGACCATCTTCAATTGGGTGCGGTGTCTTAAGTCAGGCTCGTGCACCCCCTTTGTCATCTATTATCAAGGAACCCTCGATGATACGCTGATCGTTTTGGACAACGATGGGAGTTGAGTAGGCCCATGCCATCCTCTGTCTTTCATTGAACGGCCTGACTTCCTACATCTCTCTACTCTTCTTCAAGGAGCAGTCTCAGCATCAGCTATCTGGTTAGTCGCCACAAGATTCCTCCTGCCCAGTGCATCGGCGAATCCTGGCATATGTCTGCGCCATTGAAGTTCCACGAGCCTCAAATTATTTCTTTACTCTTTTCTTTTGGTACAAGAAGGCAATGATTTTGTTTCGTCAGTTGAATTCAAAATTGTAACTGCGATCTTGCATCTTTATCCTTTCGCCTTTCTCAGATTCCTTCCAGTTGGACAATGACTAATGACCAAATGAAGGCACCTGCAGTGCAAATCTCAGCTACTGTTATATCATTCTCTACCACGTCAGCGCCTTAATGTCCGCAATTATTTTCTCGAGCTCTGATGGTATCCTGTACCAGATAAGGAGAAAGAAGTTTTATCATTTCTTTAGACCTTGCAACGCGTCCCGCAATCCCGAGAATAGCGGATCAATCGCCTGGCATAATTGTTGAGAAGCCGTCGCCTCCGGACACTCAGGACAACACATTGGCCACTGTTTATACATAACTGTCGGCGAATTTGCGGCGTCCACTATATCGATACAGGCTTCGGAGGGACCGAAAAGAGATCATCCTACAGTCTCAGCCAGATGGTCACTGATTCCGATCGTGAGTCTGTTCCACATGGGCCGAATCCTTCAGGTTATGCTTTTGCTGACGTGCTCTCGTAGTGCGCTAGTCGATTCCTGGCTATATTGATTCCCTCGTTCTACATACGATACACATGGTCCAAGCGCTTCTACATCGAATGTGACTCTGGAACTTCATCAAACTAGTCATACTCTTCCATCAGCTACAGTCTCACCTGGCGAAGCTGGGCCCTTTGGTGATTTCGTTATCTGTTGCTGATTGATCCAAGCAAGGCGGGTCTTTGCGGATAAACACTCACACAATAGTTTCACAACTTGGTCACGAGCGTAGACCCTGCGACTACTGGACTGAGGCACCTCCGCCTTTGCGGCCTCGTTGATCCACATCAAACAAGCATCACAATGCAAGGCTACGCTTTCTCGCCTTCGAATGGTCCCCCAAGGGAGGGGCACAAGAGTAAGTCGCCCTTTTGGATGATCTTTTCGTCAATCCAGGTTAATAACTTGCTCACATTGTAGACTACGTATTTGTTGATGAGCATAATAGGCACAAGAGGCTGAAAGGTTTGTCCTTCTTCTCTTCATGCTCTGTGCCCTCTTTTTCCCTCCGGTCCCTACTCCAGTTCTGAACTATTAAGGCCGAGCATCGTCTGTTTCGGTGGTTGACTTATGCATTGCTAGTGATGCGAGCCTGCAATGGCTGCAGAAAACGGAAAATAAAGTGTGACGCTGCCACAACGAATACCTGGCCCTGCTCAGCTTGCACTCGCTTGAAGCTCGTATGCGTTCCTCCTACCATTGGACAGGATAGCGACTTCCAGTCGGAGCAAGGTCTTGAGGCAACTTCAATGGGCGCCTTAGGAGCTTCTCATGCGACTCCAGCCTCGCATTATTCCTTTACAATGCCTCAGAGCTTCGGCGCTGGAAATAGTCAGTCCTATAGCGACGGCGCCGGAATCATGTCTCAATATGTCCCGAATGGTCCCACCCAACACAATATCTATGAAATACGGTCATCGCATTTACCCGTAACAAGCCAGGCCTACCAGCATGCCCAAGTATTTCCTACCACTCCTAATCACGGTCTTGTTAACTCGAATACTGGCATTTTCCCGGACGACGATCAATCTACTGCCGAGAACCTTAGCGAAGTTCTAGGTGAATTGAAAATCGATGAAACTGGTATCGGTAAGATCGATAGCGTCAGTCCTTTGGCGTTAAGAGAAGGATGCTGATATTGCAAATCAAGCACCCTATATTCGACAACAACGAAAAGAGCGATTGGAAGCGGAAGCTCCAGTCCAGGATGAAATTGAGGAAAGACTGCCACCTTTAAGCACCGGGGCGGGCTCCACCATCCGTATTCCCCGGAGCTAATGCCCTCCGATGACGAAGTGATGAATTACTTCAAGATTTACTTTAACGATATACATCCTTACATTCCTGTGGTTCATCGATCTCACCTTTACTACCAGTGGCAGAATGAACGGAGCTCCATATCTCCTCTACTCCTCGAAGCACTTTTCGCTTGTGCCGGAAGGCTATCAGACGATCCGGCTCAGGGCGCACAGTGGCTCGCATTGGCAAACAGTAAGTTAGTCGCTTTGTATGCGTTGCATGGAGCACACCAGTCAGTAACGAATGCTCATACAATGATAGGACATGAGTCCAGCTTCATGGATGTACCACGCTTAAGCACGATTCAAGCTTTGCTTTTGCTATTGAAAGCTCGGGAGTCTCTGCCAAAGAAGGGTTATTATTATCGTTCATGGCAAACTGTGAAGACAATTGTGTCGATGTCGAAGGATTTAGACATCCATGAACATTACAATACCCACGCACAGGGCAGGCCTTGTGAGCTGGATTCAGTGGAATGTCTTGTGCAGACAAGAGTATGGCAAGCCCTCTTGGTTGTCGAAGTGATGATCGGTGCACCACAAGGTATGTCTATATCAGCTAACGTGACTTCGTTGACTTTGACTGCTTTGACTGATCTCGTTTTCTCGTTAGGTCGATCGGACTACGGGGTAGACCCAGAGACCGTAGATATGCGGCCCACTCTAGATATCGATGGCCTTGACCAGTTCGAAATCGACCGCTCGAGGCAATATGCATACTTTGTCAGAAACGCCTATCATATCCGTTTGATCACCGATATATATCACAAAATCAAGAAGCAGAAAGACTGGGGAGCCAATCCCAGATTTGTTGAAAAAAACCCCCTTTTTACCGATTGGCTCCAAAACCTCCCTCAAGACTTACAGATTAATTATCCTAGCGATGGTTCGCCGCCATGGATACCGTCACATTTTGTGGGAAATATGCACTCGCATTGCCATCTCGGCATCATCTTACTACATCGACCACAATTGTTAGCATCCAAGTCCTTTGCGGCCGGCGGAGGATGGAAGATCCACATGGCGTTGTGCTATTCCTCCGCAAAAAGCCTGTGTAGGCTTCAGGAAGGTATATTAGACCGTTTCGGCCTGCGCGGTCTTCTGTTCATGCAAAGAGGTATCAATTTCGCAATATACTGCATTCTGACATGCACTATGCTGCATCTGGTAAGTGTAACGTGATTGTACTATCTGGTACTGGACTAACTCTTCTAAGATTGCCATCACATCCCCTGATCCTCATTTTCATACGGATGCGAGGGACTACTTCACGCGACACATGCGTATCCTTGAGAAATGTTCTTCGGCTTGGCCTATGCCCGAAATACAGGCACAGATTGACTCCCTGCGGCTCGCGTTCTCCGCTGACATCAATCGCCCTTTCGAGCTCAAATCTACGTTTCCTTACGGAAGTCCCTCAGAACCGTACCATCCCAGCCCACCACTTGGGTCAAATTACCATGCTCAATTGGACCAGGTTCCAAGTAACGTGCAGAATAGAGTGTGTTATGCTTACCCAATGACCCCTCCAATATCGGCTGGTACTGAGGACTCAAAGTCTGACTCATGTCAGCTTCAACCTATGGGCATGCTTGCACCGCACCCACATCACAGTCATTCGGTAGATGCTCCGTTAGTTGACGAAAATAACTGGGATCCCACTCGAATCATAAAGTATGTGCTGCCCTGGCTGTTCCATTGTGTGAGAGTTGTTTGCTGACGTCCTCATCAGCCAGTGGGACCTGGCATTCCCTGTCGGCCCGTCAAATGTGAGTACAAACTCGCCGCCGATGGGCATAGCCCATTCTACACAAGGAACCACTGGTGTATCGAACCAGTTTCCTGTTCACTATGAGACACATACGAAAGTCTCTCCGATTGCAGCTACCCAACCTCTTCCTCAAAGTCAGTTCAGTGGACACCCAGTCCTGTTCACAGCACGTGACTGGCAACAGAGCGTTGCTAGTGTATATGATCCCAATGGCTTGAAGCGGAGGTGGGCACACTCAATCGATACTAGCGAGCAGAGTAACACCAAACGCCAGCGGTAAAAAATTATTGTGCTCATGTTCACTATGCTTCGCTCCACCTCATTGGCTCATTATCTGCAAACCTTTCAATTGAGCCTAAATATCATAGATAATCATGGCTTGTTGGTCTCGTTCTCTCTCTACTGGAATAGTCTTTCTTCCATCTCTAGGTCCTGCAAATTGTAGGGCCACAGCTCTATCACACGAGCTCGAGAGGTTCAGATCTCCGGAGATTAACGTGTCGACTTGCCGGCCTTATAGTCAACACTGTAGTTTAAGTCTTAACCACAAGATATTTCATGTAATACAATAGATACATGGATGGCATGGTGGCAACTGGCATACCCGTCTACAAACTGCTTTATAGCATGTCAAAAAGCCTATCGCGATCGAATTCTTTGTAGACCACTATTATTAGGAGAAAAAACTCAGTGCATAAGCTTAGAAATATCGCCTTCCATCGAGAAAGTCGCCAAATTGGGCTACAGAAAACGCGTGCGTATGTGGACACCAGCCAGAAACAGATCATCAACAACCCTTCATGCTCTTGTCATAATGGGCTAGACGGAACAGACATCAGAAGCAAAGCCGTGACAAGAGATAATAACCAACTTCCATCCAACTCGGGTAAGTGAGGAAAAAGCGTCAGTATATCGAATTGGGCCTCCAAAATGAATCTAGCTTACTAAGTTATGTGTACTTAGTTGCGCCGACCGATGCCAATACGTTCCTCCCGAGAGCGGACAATTCTTGCTTTGTCTCCAGGTAATGGTTTCAATTCATCGTTCGGGTCGATAGTAGTATGACTCAAGGTGCTTTTGACGGATTCATGCGCCTGGGCTTGAGTCTCTTCACAGCGCTTGCGAAGTCGCATGTCTTCAAGCTTTGCGATATCTTCCGAAGTGATTGCGATAGCTGTAGGCTTCCGACGTAGCATTTTGGCATATACACTCTAAAGAGAAAGAAACTCGGATCTACCCCTAGAACAGGAGTGGAATGCAGGGCACGTGACAGGAACGTGATAAGTTTTCGATTCCCCGGAGCTACCCGTTTGTAATCAAGAACAATACTCAAGAAATTTCTCATCATCTCCGCCAAACACAGCAAGGAAAATGATCCAAACGAAGTTGAGGTTTCTGGCGAGCTGCCGTCACCGTAGGACGCCGGTTGATGGAATCATTACCTCCGTACGATTCTTTACGCTCTCCCATCAGCAGGCAGATAATCACTCAAGTCAACAAAGTACGTGAGGAATATAGCATTATGCACGGTTTCCCAGTACGGTATCGTTTATGTACCTTTACTAATTTTGTATCATTGACTGTATAGATCCTCGCATTGCAGCAACTCAATCGGTTTCTCAGGTTTCTTCATCCTCTTCCGCCGCCTCTGGCAGAGTCAGTAATTCAAACGTGAATGTCACTTCTCGTCGGAATCATCCCCGGCGCGTGGTTGACGCAAGGTCGCTCGCTGTTCCTAAAGCCGGCAGTCTACCGTCCAATATCATTCGGAGCGTCCGTTTTCAGAAATCTAGGACTGGAGCGCAAACTCACGGTCGTAGATCCAGGACTATACATCGGACTCAGACTGCCGTACCCAAGGGGCGGAAGCAGGGTAACGGGAGGACACAGCGAAAGCGCACAGACGTTGAGGAGGTGGACGAAGTCTCGCAGGCTGAAGTTGAAGAAGCATATGTCCAACTGTCCAAGGCATCCGTGCCTGTTCCTGTTCGCTATACACCGCAACCCCCTGAGTCTAATTTGACGGAGACTTGGCCATCTTTACCGACAGGCGTCACAGCCAGGGCTGCAGGAGTTGTTGAAAAGCTTTCTTGGCTGAGCGACCGCTTCCCGAATGGCTATGTGCCCCCTCATGAACTGGGCAAGCGACTTTTCGAAGGACGAAGCGTCCAGTTTTTCAATCAGGATGAAAAGGATAATGCTGTGTCGGAGGCGCAAAAGCTTGCACGAAAACGTGCCGATACCCTCTCACAGAGAAAAGGAGATCTTGTGGAACCTGAAGATGTGGGTTTTAAGCAGATGAGTGCACTGGACAAGAGAGCCTTAGTCGAAAAGCTTGTTCAAGGAAACTACCCAAAGCTGGAGACAGTATTGGCCGATAAGCCAACTGTCCTTACTGGGGTTGTGAAGAACCTCAATAATAATGAGACGTACCGCACTGCCGGAAAGAGTTCACAATTTATCTCAAAAGTTGAATCACTTCTTGCTTCAGGTCGCCCTGCATCCGCGAAAGGAGTCTGAAAGTGTACTGGTGAAGGAAGGCTCCGAACTGAACTGATTTCTCTTGCTTTAACTTCCATCAATTTACCAGTGTCTACCTCCTTTTTCTTTTTTTTTCTTTTTTTTTTTCTTCGCTTGTATCTATCTTCTGTATTTTTAGGGGGAACTATTGGCTAAATATGCGACACTGATGATAGTCATTGGGAACCAGTATAGCTTGCATATTCGACAAAATGATAATCTGACTATACTCGTTCTAATGCCCTTTTTGCAGCATCAAACAAATCTTTCACCTCTTTCTGTCCCTTCTCTGTCAGCCGTTCCATTTGGTCCTGAGCTTTGCGAACGTCATCTGGCCTGGCTAGCTTTTTCTTCTGCATATCTTGAAGGCGCTTATGACTAACACTCCTCGATTCGCGAACTGCACCAGCTGCCTTTTCCATGGCCGCTCTAGCAGCAACCACCGTCTGTTCACGTAATTCTTTCGTGGGCGGCGGGATTGATATATTCAGTTGAAGAATATTATGAGGGTCAGGTTGTGGCGTTAGAGACAAACCGGAAGAAAGAATCGCTGAGGTGATCGGCTTCATGTGCTAGGACGAAAATATCATTAGCAGCCCTGAGTATACGAATTGCTGCATGCAATTGCGTTGAGAACAATCCGTTCGGATCTGAACGAAGTCCTACCTCTTCCTCTGAAGCCAATATAGTAACCATCCGCCCTCCCTTGGGGACAACCTGCGCCAGCTCACCCAGTCTTACTGTTTCCTTGCCTCCTTTGCTCAAGGACACTCTCAAATCCTCAAGTGATTCCGTGTTGAACCGCCCGCCCATGCGCAATTTGGAAAGCTCATCTTTAAGTCGGGCCACCGCAGCCACGATGCCATTTTCTAGCGAAGAAAGATCATAGGGGTCCTCCGACGAAATGCTCAACTCTGCGTTTGCGCCAGTGAGTTTTCGAGGCTTGTCTTTTTTCTTGCACAGAGAGGGAGAATTAGAGAAGCTTCGAGTTGTGAGATTGAATCGCTTAGAGGGAGTCAGGAGCCGCCAGGGTTGACCTGCGTCAAGCACAATTGGGCTGAAATTCGCAGAATGAAAAGATCGAGGAATGTCAGAAAGAATTGAGAGTCGTTGTATCCGCTGCATTTTCTAGATTTTGCAGAGATGATGAGCTAGCTATTGGAAGTATTCTTTGTACCGAAAAAGTTGGGGTTATTAGGAATCAAAAACATACACTGCATTCATCAAACACTACTGCGTAGTGCAAGACCAATCAGAATACGATACCTTCTAAGCACAGAGCAGTTTTTCCGAGAAATAGACTAACAGGCCTTTATGGTTTGTATACAGGGGAGTAAATTTCGCTGCCTCAACATCGCACACGTTGCGAGTCATAGCATTTAAATTACCTATGTCGTCTACCATATGTCTGAGACTAAAGTAAGAAGTAGAAGTACAAGGCTCATCAAATCATTAATTTCTTCCCCCGACGGATTTCATCTAATCTAGAATGAACTTTTAGATAATGTGGACCAAATCAAGGGACACAAGACATGAAAAGGGATAAAAAGAAACCGGAGGAGAAATAGAGCACATTTCCGACATTTCCGTACATGGATCGTTGGGAACGGTTGTAACAAGCCCTAGAGACAAATTTCAATCTCTCCAAATTGCAAGCAAATACACATCCGCAGGGAACGGTAATACTGAGGTAGAGAATGACGAGGAGTGACTGAGTGATAACAACTCAAGAAAGTTCATAGCATTCAGATTACCGGGTGGCCATAGCTTTGGTGATGAGTCTCTTGAGCGCGAGTTCCTTTTTCTTGAAATCCTCAGGGGCAGAGTCTTCAATCTCAAGTTGAGCCATAGCGTCACTCAGGGCAGACTCGATCTTTTCCTTGTTGCCGCGCTTGAGCTTCAGAGACATGGTAGGGTCGGAGATGATCTCTTCAACGCGAGAGATATAAGATTCGAGCTGCTGACGAGACTCGAATTTCTTGGTGAAGGCCTCGTCGCTCGACTTGAACTTGGCGGCTTCTATAACAGCGTTAGGGTTGTTCCTTTGAAAGAACACAGTGAGACAACGCAGTAGACGTACCATCAATCATCTGCTCAATTTCCGTGGTGGAGAGCTTGCCGACAGCGTTAGAGATAGTAATGTTGGCGGTACGGCCAGAAGACTTCTCCGTAGCGGTGACCTTAAGGATACCATTGACATCGACCTCGAAAACAACTTCAAGAGCGGCCTCGCCAGCCTTCATGGGAGGGATAGGAGCGAGAGTAAACTCGCCCAGGGAAGTGTTGTCTGCACAGTTTGTGCGCTCACCCTGATAAACTGGGAACTGAACGGTCGTCTGGTTGTCTACAACAGTCGTAAAGGTGCGCTTCTTGATGGTGGGAACAGTTTGACCACGGGGAACAACGGGGGCGAAAATATTGCCTTCCATGGCAACACCAAGGGAAAGGGGAACGACATCCAGAAGGAGCAAGTCCTGAGTTTCAGCCGAGGTGGCCTTACCAGAAAGAATGCCAGCTTGCACAGCGGCACCATAAGCTACAGCCTCATCTGGGTTAATGCTCTACGCCAACGTTAGCTTGAGGACATGACCGGCAACTATGAAGAATTAATGCAACTGACCTTCTCAAGCTTCTTGCCGTCGAAAAAGTCACTGAGCAGCTTCTGGATCCGAGGGATACGAGTGGAGCCACCGACGAGCACAATCTCATCGACCTGGCTCTTCTCAAGGCCAGAGTCCTTGAGAACTTGCTGTACTGGCTCGAGAGTGCCAGAGAAAGACTTAGCGTTGAGATCCTCAAAGCGGGCACGAGTGATAGACGAGTTGAAATCCTCTCCATCGAACAAAGAGTCAATCTCAACAGCTGTCTGTGTAGCGTTAGACAGTGTACGCTTGGCACGCTCGCAGGCCGTTCTCAAACGGCGAAGAGCCCTGGCATCGCCTGAGAGATCCTTTCCAGTCTTCTTCTTGAATTCCATCTTGAAGTGTTCAAGGAGGTTGGTGTCAAAATCTTGTCCACCGAGATGAGTATCACCGGCTGTGGCCTTAACAGTGAAAACACCTCCTTGGATGTTGAGAAGAGACACATCGAAGGTACCTCCACCAAGATCATAGATCAGGACATTACGCTCCTTTTCGGACTTCCCGGAGCCGAGTCCATAGGCGATAGCGGCGGCAGTGGGCTCATTGATGATGCGGAGGACATTCAAACCGGCAATGGCACCAGCATCCTTCGTCGCCTGACGTTGATTATCGTTGAAATAAGCTGGCACGGTGATGACAGCCTTCTCAACCTTCTTTCCAAGCTTGGTCTCTGCGACTTCTTTCATCTATTGAATCGAAACAGGTCAACCATGCACGATAAACAATATACCAGGTAGGTCGGTGATATACCTTCATCAAGACCATAGAAGAGATTTCCTGGGGAGAAAATGTCTTGGTTTCACCCAGATATTCAACCTCGACAACGGGGTTTCCGCCCTGGTCAACGACCTTGAAAGGCCACGACTCGATATCCTTCTTGACGATGGGATCTTCATAACGCCGGCCAATGAGACGCCTAGGTTTGTAAATAAGAGAGCTTAAATGGGAGAGGTAGACATGGCAAGAGACTTGCTTAGTCCTCACTCACTTGATGTCGAAAATCGTGTTCGTTGGATTCATTGCCGCCTGGTTCTTGGCTGCCTCACCAATCAAGCGCTCTTTCTCGGTGAAAGAAACGAATGACGGGGTTGTGTAACTACCCTGCTCGTTGGCAACTGTAGGATGAGTCCAAGTCAGGGCCTATTCCTGCCGAATCTTGTGCCTTCGAAAAACATACTGATCTCAACGTTGGTGCCTTCATAGTTGGCGACGCAGGAGTAGGTTGTGCCTGGATGGATGTCTTAGCAAAACTCGATTTCTTCGTGAAGAGCGTGTTATGGTATATGTGATGGCCTTTTTTTTAAAAAAAAAAAAAAAGAAAGGAAAGGGAACAAAAAAAAAATAAGATTCCTTACCAAGGTCAATGCCGATGGCGCCTTCGTAGACTTCGTCCGACATATTGCTTTCGATTCGCACTGAATATCAACAATGAAAAATTGAAGAAAAAGAAGAATATAACAGTGAGAGCACCTGAAAGGAGGTGGGAAGAGTTGGGGGAGAAAGAGGACAAGAAAATTGAACGAAGGGTCAGTGTGGGAGCGGTTGATCTTTTAAGTCCGAACCCACTTCGCCTCTTTTTTCACTCTTTTTTTTCCCAATTTTCTTTTTTACTTTCGCCTCCCGTTGACTTTCCTTTTCCCCAATTCAGCCCCATGGTTAGAGAAGATTATTCCAATGTCAACGGCCATGGTTATGGTAATCTCAACCGTTACTGAGACTATAAAAAATCTTCACTCATTTGTCTCGTAGCATGGCAAATACTTATTAAGATCTGAGCTATTGTTCTAATACATACTCTGTAGTACGTGATTAGATTCAATGTCTACTTAAAAGATTCATCTGGTCCCGAATATGGTCTAGTTCGTTTTTTCGATGTCCTCTTCAACTTGTGGCCATTCAAGTTACTACCCAACCTTTCTTAGCTCCTACCAAAACCTCTTGCTCGAAGATTGGAGTATAAGACTGTGTGCAAGCGTAATGGAAAGGCATTCTTATATTATGCAATCAAGATAATTATAGTAGGGCGGTGCCTTAAAGACACGGATCCAAGTGTATGCAGAGTGTGCGAGAGATAATTGATAGGAATCAACTTAGGCGTCGTACTTAGGACGGACGGTATTATTGATGCTGCTCCTAAAAGTCGTACTATTAAAGTCTTGGCTGTTAGCTACCTCAATCACTACTTTTATGTTGTGCACATTGTACCATAGTAGTAGTTAGCACTTCTAGAGCACGATACCATTATACCTAGTAGCCCTCGGAGGTTACCAAGGCATGACCAAACCCTACGCTCTACGATGAGAGGACAGGCTCGATTGGAATAATAAAAGCTGATGACAGAAAGTATTCCGTCTCTTTTATTTTTTGCGGGATCTAAAGTAGAGTGTAAATCTTTCAGACTGTGACATGGTTTTTCAAGATGTTAATAACTATCTACTATCTGGGCCTCCACAGCTACTAGCCTTAGATGCGTACTACTCGAAGGAAGATACAGAGAATCCTGTCAGAGAGGATGTAGATAATTTGCAGTTCCGTAGTCTTAAGTCACGTCCCACACTTCAATGCTAACGCACAATAGCAAGTGCTTACTATCAGAAGGGTACCTCTTAGAGCTAGTTCCTAAGGTACCTAAAGTACGTACCTAGACAAGTTGCGAAGTGGTCCCACACCAAGCAACCAAGTTACTGTCCTCCGTTATCTTAACTGGAATTTTCTTTAGCCTGGTCAGTAATAACATATTAACTATAAACACATTTGCCAGATCTATACCACCTCTGGTTCTGAAACCTAAATAGCAGCCTTTTGACCACAGTCACTACTGGAAATTGAGAGTCAACTCTCGCTACAATTATTATCAGCGCACGAGCTCTATCAAGCTCGCTCCAATCAAAGTTTAGAAGTCCAGATTTGTACGTGGCCCCTGCGCACCTCATCAGAATCTTGACTCAGTAACTCTATGGCATATGGCATCTCTGGAAACAAAGACAGATCCCGAGCAAGGTGCTAAATGACGGTCAGGCAGATATTCTGAAATTCCAATCGAACCGATCCGAACCCCCACTTCTCCAGATGGATATCGATTTAAGCAGGAGGAACAAAAAGCCCCGCCTTCTGTTGGAATCCGAAAGAGAGAGGCTTGAGGAATTCATTGACTCTATACACTACTCAGCGAGGTATGAGCATCTGACTAACGTACACAAGGGCTGAATTGACAAGCACAGATATTCTGACGACCAGTTTGAGTACCGACATGTTCAGCTTCCCAAAAACATGCTGAAGAAGATTCCCGCCGACTATTTCGATAGCTCAAAAGGAACGCTGAAATTGCTATGGGAGGAAGAATGGAGGGCACTCGGTATCACTCAGGTACTACGAAGTGGACTGCGAAACTCGCGTTCTGCCAGCCTGCGGCTAATCTTGTTTCTCTAGAGTCTGGGGTGGGAACATTACGAGGTCCATGAGCCAGAGCCACATATCCTCCTTTTCAAGTAAGCACATGATGATGTATGAAGTATTCTACGATGAACTGATGGCTTTTTAGGCGGCCCCTGAATTATCAACCTCCGGTTTCCCAGTAACTGTGGTAATCGATAGATACATTGCGGGCCCAATTGATTTCACGTTAAGCACTGACGGGGCACAGTCCCATTTAAGTTATGGGTATTACAACAAGGAGATTTTTCCAGGGCAGGGCAACAATGATCATACACCGTTCGAGCCATGGAAATGAAGAATCGCTCTGGCTGTTGCACATGAGTGAGATTATTGATACCAACGTACGCTGAAACCTTTTGCTTTTCTTTTTCTCTTTCTCCTTGTCCTTTTACGTCCCGGTATGATGCCTGTGACGCGCGGCTTGACTTCCTGTGATTGCAAGAAATTTCAGCTACATTTCTGGGCGATCACTGCTCCCTCTGGGTAGTCCCGAACTTGCTGCTGATTCTGGGCTTGCCAATCACCTAGATCATGATGTCAGACCCTTTCGAGCTTATGGAATATATCTGGAGTTTTCTTACCTTTACATCTACAGTTGGAGAAATGGATATCAATCGCACGATCAGTCTATATGGTGCCGCATTAGACCTTTACAGATGGCTCTGGCATAATGAATAAACTTTGCCCCATGAGCAACTTCATACTACCAGCGACCTATTCGACTTTCGATTGCCCAAAATATCCGACTTGTTTCATCACACACACACTCCTCTCTTACACACTCACTCACACACACACACACACTCTCTCTCTCTCTCTCTCTCTCTCTCTCTCTCTCTCTCTCTGTGCTCATTCAAGTGAAGGATGGCAGGTATGCTCCCTACTCTCTTGCAGGTGCTCTCGTGTGCGCTCGTATTCGATTCGCGTATAACCTAAATTGCGGTAGTTAAAACCCCGTATGTCTCGAACTCGATCCTCAAAGCTATGGCGGCTGTTCCGTAGGGTTTTAGAAACGATGCTGCCGGGTATAGCGCCAAAATTTGGCGAAGGGCTGAGTTTGAACATTACACCTCGTCCTCGAAGCAAAGAGAACTGTGAATAATTAAAACCGTCATTGTGTACCCACGCATGTAACTGAAGCCTGAGAACGCGAAAGATGTAGTGAGAAGCTGTTGCTGGAATATCTATACGCAGGATTATCAGGACCCTTGCAAGCCCTACAGAACCAGCTGCTTGCACTACTCTGTATCTATCTAACAGCTGTCCTCCCAAGGTCTCCTATGATACTTATGCTCAAGCTGTGTGCTTGACACCAATCCTCGAAGGCCTTTGCTGTCCTAATATTATGCTTCACCCCGCTTCTAAGGAAGAGGACCCTTAATCATCTGGAAGGTTAGGTATAGATCATAAACACCTTGGGTCACAAGAGTCATTTTCTGCATGTCTGGATGTGATTGGCCGACGTGACCACTCTCAGTCCATGCTTAACAGCTCAAGTAATTTTATGAGCGTCTTGGCTAGAGTGACAAGTTTTCAAACACTGTTCATTGGCTACCAAGAGCTCTCTGCTTGAATATATTCAAGTCTTTGAGTTGCATAGAGACATGCGTCCATCGAGAAGTTAACGGATCGTATTCGCCCCGAACCTCAACCCTACAGAATCCTTTGGGCCCTTTGAGACCAACTGGACCGACGATAAAGAAAGTGCCGCGGCGGGGAGTGCGCAACTCGCGAGCCCAGCAATCATTTAACCGCCATTTAAAAGCTACTGCAGCCGCACGCAAATCCGACTCGGGACCTAATTTCGGCAGTGGTAACCATTGAAGGGAGGATAGTACTGACGAGGGATTCAACCATGGGTGGTGTTGCTGTGTTACTCTCCCGTGGGGCTCATCCGCAAAAGATAGTCGAGACCCTGTTTTGTGATAACCAGTGGACCCATCAATGAGCCCTGTAAACACGGTTCCGGATGGTGGCATGACCAGTGAATCAGTACCGAGTTGGATTTTATCAGACACTTGGAAACCCATGCGTGAAAGTTGTCTTTTCATTAAGATAAGATATGCGTCTCTTGCAGCAAGTGCCACAAAGAGAGGCTTCATGCATTTTCGGATGCAATCACCGGTATCTGAGGACACCGGTCTCACAGCCCACGAGATTTCAGTATCAGCTATTTCTAACCTGACAATAATGAGCATATTAGTATATGGCAAGACGCTGTCTTTGATATGACATACCCTGACAATGCATATTCAGGTGGGGCACGAGACGGGAAGTGGTGGACGAGCCAGAAACCAGTTATGGTCAGCGGTCCACCAAGAAGTTGAAGAAGTATGTTTGATGCGGAGGCATTGCGCAAAGCTATGGTTGCTAGGTCATCTGGGCGAGTAAGCCTTACTTCGGAAAGGTTATTATACTAGCTGGGGGATACCTTTCAGCGACTCGAGCTTCCTGCCATCCCGAGAGATACGAACGAACTCTCTCCACTCCGGGTCCGACGAAGAATAGAACTCGCCTTCGCGCAGGCGCGGCCAACCCAGAGGAATGAAAAAAGGATCTGAGGCCGCAGCCTCCTCCGAACGGCGCACAGTTCGTTCAGCGGCCATAACGCTCTTTTCTGGAAAGTCTTTCTTTGGAAGAGCCTCATCTGATGCGCTTTCAAGCATCTTATCGTATTCCCCGAGGACAAAAGAACCCCATATATGAAATGCGGTCCCATATAGCAGACATGTAGTAACAAACTTTCTGGCGACTCAGGTCAGTTGAGCAAAAACCGAGTTGTACGCCGTGCAAGGCAGCGCAAAGGGGTGGCGGACTACACACTTAAACCAAGGGCGTTTAAATCTCACATGGCGAACATTTATGTTGTTGGCATCGCTCTTGGAAAAAGAATGACTGGCACGAAAGGGTATTCGAAAAAGAAAGAGCCGTTGCCTCATTCGGAACATCTGGTATGACTTTGCGGTGGTCTCTCTAAGGCGAAGATCATACTCAAGGATAGGGATGGCAACCGATCGTGGTCTTCGATTTTGACAGAAACGTCATGAAACTTCGCCAAATATATGTCCCTCAAGAAAGAAATAGAGGAGAGGGAGGCGGGGCTAAAAGGTGACGGAGAAGATAAAGGAAAGCAAAAGGATAGAGAGGGTTTACACAGACTGCTAGGTCAATTAAAGCGAGAGTTTCTCAATGTCAGCCGCGGCAGCTCTGGCCAGGAATCGGAGATAATTTCATTGTTCAACTTTCAGTTGTCTGATCGTTGATGCACGTGATTATCTCGTCAACATAGATTACCTAAGTTGTGCTAGCTATCTGGATGTACCTGCCAAAATACGGAGTACGCCGATCTAAGTTGCGGACTGGGGGAATCAGTGCATGACCTTTTGTCCAAGTTTATCTACCAACATGCACAAATATCTTGGTTTTTTTGCTCTGTCAGCGACGTTCACATCGGCTATCAGCAATCCAGATGCATCCATCTTCGCACTAGATTCAAGCGCCAATGCAGGAGGCTCAGAGATTCCGTTTCTATCAAACGATACCGCCCAACGACTCCTGAATTATCGAATGAGGTCCTCGACCACAACGGACCTCATGACAGCTGATCGAGATATTGTTGAAATTTTGGATAGATATGGAGGAATGCAGCCATCATTGTTCGGCATTTCAAGTGACGACCAAGACTTGAGATCCAGCTTGATTCTTCTGCATGGGCTAGACCCTGTCATTGGTAGGTCTTTCCAGATATGCTTATATTGTGAAGCAGCCGCTCATTTTTCTATAATTATGTCGGTAGAATCTTCCATTCAAAAGGAATACAAGCAAGGCCTAGTCCATTGTGACTCTCGAGCTACGTTTTTGCATAACAATCCCCTCAACTGGAACATCGATGGCGAATCGGAAGATGATGCTGGAACAGCCGATGGTCATTGCCTGAAGTACCTTGACAGCGAGCAAAGGAAACGGGAGAATGTTCAGGTAGTCGAAACCGGACGATTGCTAGCGCGGGCTGTGTTAAAAAAATATTCGGACTGACTTGCGATTAACCCTAGACACTCTTATCTTGCCTGCCTAACGCATCGGCTTTCAAGCCAGTGGCGCACGCACTTGGTCAGCAATTACCTGAGTACGTCAATATCATGGAATCATGGGTTAACGATCAAGAGCCCTTGATCTTGAGGTTGTCATTCAAGGTACTCCTTCGTCTATACCTATCAGTTCTCTTGTATTTGACAGACATTGCAGTCTTTCTCCGGATCAGTACATGACACAGTACTGCTTGGCTTGCTGAGATCTCTTATGAGTGATCTTCATTCGCTGTCTTTGGATGGTACAGCAGTGACTGTTATATTCATGCCGGACTCCCAAGATTCCCGAATGCCACAAAACCCGAGCCGTCGTGGTAACCATGAAGCCAAAACCTTACAAATGGACATGGCATCTCCGTCATTGTTGAGAAGGCAGTCGCCCGGTTCAACGTCTCCGAATCCAACCTGCCATGTCACCAATTCATCTTGTAACGAAGCAACCAGTGGTTGTTCAGGACATGGGTCTTGTTACAGGAAATCGGAGTCAAAGAGCGGACTTACCAACAATGACTGTTTTGTATGCAAATGCCATGCAACAACCATCAGACAAGACGATGGTACGACCCGGATTATCCGATGGGGCGGCGCCGCTTGTGAAAAGCAAGATATCAGCTCTCCCTTTTTCCTTTTAGCAACGGCTAGCATCATGGTAATAATAGCGCTGGGCGGTGCTATTGGAATGTTGTTCAGGGTTGGGCAAGATGACCTGCCGGGCGTCATCAGCGCTGGGGTTGGGCCCACGAAAGCACAGGGATAAGAATATCTTTGAAGTTGACCCTATGAGGGTTGCTGCGAGGTATTTGGTTGAGGGCGATGCTGTGCCAGTGTTCACTACACAAAGCTGAACGCGCAGGGTGGTGCTGTCACGTTCTGATATGATGTGGTTTTGAAATTGCTATTATGGCGTTCTTTTTTTTTCTTTGTCTTTTTCTTTTTCTGAAACTAAAGGGTCAGATTCTCCGAGATCCTCAGGCTCTGACCTGCTTATACCTACATTGAAGACTACCAACATTATTTGGTAAGAATGAAGGCGTAAAGGAGAAATCATTCCTCGCACGTGAGCAATTGTCTCGCTGAAGCAAATCTCAGCGGCCCTTGGAACGGGTCTAGTCTCTTGAGACGAGAAGGTCGTCGACGCCATCCAGGGCGGACAGAATGAATATGGGGTTCTGCAAGAGAAGGCAGAAAGAATCTCCGAGTGACTCTCGAGTCCGCTCATGAAATAAACCATACCGGGTGCAATTAACCACTTTGGGGCGAAATTTCGGACTCGCCATAATTCAAGCAAAGACATTCATCAATCAAGTAGAGTCGATGAGCCATTAGACCTGCACGCGATATGACTAGCTACGTTTTAAGAACGTAAGCCTGCTTCGACATCTGCAGTACTCCGACTATCACTCGGCTGAGAAGCACTCATGGCCGAACCCGCATTCCTCGGTGCACGATGCCAACTTGAGGATGGAAGGCGGAGAGAGTTGCGAAGACGAGGGAACAGCCGCATTGATCCCCAGGGCTGAGGTCTGGAGTTTTCTGACCTCGTGTCAGATGCATTGTGCGCCATGGACGAATCGACATTGAGTGCACCCGACAGCTGCGATGGCGGGATTCCATCGCGTTCCATGAGTCGCTGGGGCAATATCGTTGTTCGACGAAATGGATTCGATCGCCATCCTATAAATGCAGGCCGCGGTCGGCTAGGAGCATACATTCCCACCATACTATGGCGATCCGTGCTCGCACGCTCCGCCACCGGATCAGAGCGAGGTTTAGGGGTGAAGTAATCTGCTTTGCAGAGTGGGCAGCAGGCCCTCCGGCTTGTCAACCATGGGTCAACGCAGGATGCATGGAAAGCATGACCGCATGTCAGCCCACGTATGTCATCGTCATCCTCGATCGCATCAAGGCATATTGCACAGGAGTCTCCGGGAGTGGGAAGAAGCTCTGCTGGTGTTGCAGTCCGGCTGGGATGGTCGGCCTCTCCGATGTCTTCCAACCCATGGTATTCACAACTGTCCTGATTATGTACGTGCTTCATCTCATGGTTGGTGTACCCTGATACGTCTCGAGCGTGAGTGCAATCAGCAAAAACTGCACGACCATCGGTCTTTTCGTCTAACTGAGCGAATTGCGTTCCAGCATCTGGTGCGACTGTTGAAGTTTGTGCGATGGTGGGCCCAATCTGCCGTTGACTATCCGTCGATGCAGGTTTCACTAAAGATGGCGATACACTAGTATCTATAACCAAAGTGCCGTTCTTGATGTTTGGACTGTGTAGACTGCTGTCGGCTGCGGATATCACCTCTGCGGTCGGAATGTTGGCGTTTGCCCGCGTCGACCTCCACGCCTTGTACTTTGTGAGTGGAAACCGCAAATTAACTTCGTCCATAGTCATCAACTTCTTTTCCCTTCTTCGTCTATGCGTACGGGCATAGTAACCAGGTCTATCGGTTCTCCCGTTTCTTCGTTTCGTAGTTGGCGGTTCCGTTGATTATATCGAAAGCAATACTTGACACCAACGATGATCCTAGCATCAAACCTCAGATATGAATCGATGCGTACGAAGTGCAGACAATGCCTCTCTGAACATACCATAGATTCGTGAAGACGACCCCGAAACCAAGGGCAACAAAGAACAATAACGGTGAGCTCGTAGGGCTCGAACTGGAATCTGCAGCTCGATCGCTGTTTGTGGAGCCCGAGGGAGGAACAGGGCTTGTGGAGGACATCTTCGGGGTAAGAGGCCACAATTGCAGGACTGATGTTGGCAATGCAGTATCGGTCACTTATTAAAAGAAAATGAACCTATTGAAAGGTGGAAGAGGCCACTCCGATTGTTTGTTCATTGACCGGGCAAGGATAGGTAGATCACTGGCGAGTAAGACTCAGTTCCTTCAAGACACTTCGAGTGTGTATAGAGACCTTGAAGGGGAGTGATGCTTTTGTAGATGACGATTGTGTATATCCACTCATCTGGGGGGAAGCATATGACTCCAGTTACACTTAGAGCTGTGCACCTGGGGAGTCATCACTAAACATGCTGTGTGTTTAGGTCAACTTGCTGAAGGGTTCTCTATCTTCCTTCTTGCCCTTCTCTGTTTGGCACTGAGTCCCTCTGTATGTTCTCATGCTCTCTAAGGTTGTCCCGGATTCCGTGTTGGGCTGTTGAAGGGTACCATGTTTCGCAGAAACAGAACTAACGGAGATGGCTAATCAAATATAGTTTGGGTCACGAGGTCTCTGGTACATATAAATATAAGCCTAAGGAAATGAGAAGGATGGAACATTCCTCTCAGTTGTTTAATTATATACATTAATTAAGTCATGTTCTGCATCTCATTATTACTACTCTAAAGGATCAAGTCGGTAATAGACCTTTGGAGCTATTAGACTTCATAGAGTGGTATCATGCCGTTATCACCTACATGGAAGTGCGGAAGAGAGAGATAGAGGCGGGAAGACTGCTGACCTGTGCATAAATGGAAGTGTCTAAGGTACACTAGAGATGGATACTTCAAGCACCTCACCTACAGAGTAATAAAATAGTTAGATATGTATAACCACTGGCGCTCTACAGTGATATGGAGAATATTAGAATTTACCTCTCCCTGTTCAAGGGGGCGAAGTCTTTTCCTTCTTCTCTTTGTTTCTGTCTTGATTTTCCTTCTTTCCCCCCTTTCCTCTTTTGGTGGAGTAGTTTGTAGGAATACTGGATGCAGGTTACTTCTGTCATACCTAATCCATACTGGTACTAAGTCACCAACAGAAAAGTATGTAGAAGTGCTAACTAACCACTTTAAAACAGAAATATCAGTAATTATCTATTATCCACCACAAGTCGCGTTTTCGTCACATCAAAATGGAAGATATTCACACAGGCCCAGCGACGGACACCAATCCAATCGTTTTCTTCGACATAACCCTAGGAGGTGAGCTTCCAGTACCTGATCTTTTATCTCAGCCCATACCAGAATGTGGAGGTGTTGTTACTTGCACCCAGCCATTGTGTCCCCCTTGACATGTCTGCTAGCATATTTAGATTATCCCGGTCGATCAGGTTCAAATCTCTATCTACCATGATCCCGTCACTGACATTCAGTCGCAATAGGCGAACCGCTAGGTCGCATAAAAATGGAGTTATTCGCAGATGTCACTCCTCGGACAGCCGAAAATTTCCGCAGATTCTGCACAGGTGAAAGCAAAAACTCCCAAGGAAAGCCACAAGGATACAAGAACAGCAAGTTTCACCGAGTAGTACGTCTACAGTCCTTCGTGTCGGCGCAGAAAGCTGATCCAAAACCGCTTTCAAGATCAAAGATTTTATGATACAAGGAGGCGATTTTGTCAATGGCGATGGAACAGGATCTTGTACCATTTATGGCACCCCCAAATTTCCAGATGAGAACTTTGTTCTGAAGCACGACCGCGCAGGTCTCTTAAGCATGGCTGTAAGTTGACCCGGGTACCGTTGAGTTGCGGATGGTGCTGAGTGCTACAGAACTCTGGGCCAAATACAAATGGCTGCCAGTTCTTCATAACAACTACAGCGACTCCATTCTTGAATGGGAAGCATGTCGTGTTTGGGCAGGTAGTGGATGGCATGGATATCGTGCGGATGATCGAAAATACACGCACAATTAGGGACAAGCCAAGCCAAGATGTGCTCATTACACAATGCGGAGAGATGTGAGGGTGTTCTGGTCTAAGTCCGTGCTTTTTGCGATCCTAAAATAGGATGATAACCATAAAGATGATTAGCTCGTACTCATCCTGTTTTCAAATACAGTTTGTTTCAAGCTCAAGGGTAAGGGCATCTAAACCTCAAGGTTCAGGTTCACCATTAATTGCAGGGGCAAAACCAGTCAGCGAAACTCAGTCGCACAGAACCCTCAAAGCTTGAACTTTGCCAAGTAATCAGAAGCCAATGCAATTGCATCCTCGATCTTGTCCGGATGCACGCCATTGCCGATAGACGTCGAACCCTTCCCACCCGCTTTCCCTCCGACAGCGCTAGAAACAACCGCAGCCATGTCGTTGGCCGAGGCCCTTGGTCAAGCAATGCCTACAATAGAAGACCTCATGAGACTTGACTTCCGGACCATATGTGAAACACAAGGGAAGGCTCACCTTTGCAACGTAGCAACCATGGGCAACGCGACCCTGTTCCGAATCGGCGGCTAGAACATAGACGGTCTTATCTTGCAACTTAGACTTAACGTAGTTTAGCGACTCGCTCACGGCTTTCGCGTTTGCAGAAATAGGAAGCCTGGTCACCAAACACGTCTTCCCTTCGTTCGTCGGGGATTCGAAGTATGAAATGATCGCCTCAAGCGCCTTCTTTGTTTCGAGTTTTTGTTGCGCTTTTTGTCCGTCAATGACTTGCTTGTTAATAGACGCAAAACGCTCTCGAAAACGAGATTTCTGGACAGCAGAGATCGAGAGTTGGTTTAGTTCAACCTGTATCTGCTTGGCTTCCTGTTCTTTCTGCGGCCCCAAAGCCATTGCATCCAGGCGATCTAGCCGCTTCTCGAATTCTTTGGCAACTCGCTGTACTTCATGGGCGTCCTCCCCAGTCACAGCGATGATCCGACGAATCCCCTTAGCAATGCCGTTTTCTTCTAGAATAATTAAGTCCTTAATGTCTCCTGTCTTCTGGACGTGAGTTCCGCCACAAAATTCTATGCTGACTTCAAGCCAGCGAGGATCTTCCACATTCTTCAATATCTCCTCCACCTCCACCCCAACAGAAACGACTCGGACAGGATCAGGGTACGTCTCGCCAAAGACAGCTCTAACACCTGAGATCTGGCGTGCAGTTGCAAGAGGAACTTCTTGGGAGTAGACATCACAGTTTTGGCGGATATACTCGGTTGATATTTCCTCGATTTTCTCTAATTCTTTCTCTGTGACTGCAGACTTGTGAGAGAAATCAAACCTGAGTTTTTCAGCAGCAACAAGGGAGCCCTTTTGCTCGACAGAATCTCCAAGAACTCTTCTGAGCGCAAAGTTGAGGATGTGTGTGCCCGTGTGATTATTTCGGATGGGCCAGCGACGAAGCTCATCGTATTCACACAGAACGGCGTCACCGATTGAGAAAGAACCGTACTTCATGAAGCCAGTATGGAGGACATAGCCAGCGTAAAGCTGAACATCACCAACTTCTAGCTCTGCCCGTCCGTCGATGATGATTCTGCCGGTATCGTTCTCTTGTCCACCTTGTTCAGCGTAAAAATTCGTGCGGTCCAGAATGATGCCTATCTGTTCCCCATCTGATATCTGCGCCGTCGATGAATGGAAGTTCTTTCCGTGGTAAATCGCTTTGATTTCAGCGGTAATGTTACCCTTTCCAAATTTGGCGCTGTCGTCTGTTTTGGGGACGTCATTCATTTTCTCCAGCTTTCCCAGGTCGTGAACGTCCAGTTTGACGGTTCCTGTTGCCGACTTCTTCTGTCCTTTACTAGCCTCCTTGGCTCTCAAACGCGCTTCTTCGAATTCGAGGTCATCAATATTCAACCCACGCTCTTCCGCCATGAGACGGGTTAAGTCAACCGGAAAACCGAATGTGTCATACAGGCGCCAAACGTCAGCACCATGAAGCTTGTCATCGCCTTTGATCTTTGCTTGCTGAGCATAGTTCTCGAACTGTCGCTCACCGCGATCTAAGGTTTTGGCGAACGAGATCTCTTCCTCGTCCAATATTTCCATGACATCGTGCTGCTTTTTCTTCAACTCGGGAAACATGTCTCCGAGCTGTTCGACGAGTGTTGGAACAATTTTCGAGAAGAAATTTCCAATCTCAACCTGGAAGTATTTTCGAGCATAGCGAGCACCTCGGCGCAAAACACGTCGAACAACATATCCACGACCATCACTGTTTGGCGTGACGCCATCTGAGATGGCGAAAGTCAATGTTCGAACGTGGTCCGCGACAACACGATAAGCCGTGTCGATTCCATCAGAATCATCGGCGCCAAACATTCCTCGATATTCCCGGGCTCCGGTGATGTTCTTGATAGCGTTGAACAGCGGAGAGAACACGTCCGTATCATAATTAGACGATCTGTCCTGAAGCACTGAGACTAATCTCTCGAATCCCATTCCAGTGTCGACGTGCTTATTTGGCAGAGGCCTCAAAGACCGATCAGACTCGCGATTGTACTGAATGAACACGTTATTCCATATTTCAAGAACGTTGGGATCATCTTGATTGACAAGATGAGCAGCGTTGCGGCCGCCAATCCGATCATAATGAATCTCACTACAGGGCCCACAAGGGCCCTGGTCGCCCATTTCCCAAAAATTGTCCTTCATGTTTCCTGGAAGGATATGATCCTCTGGAACACCGGCAGCTCTCCATAGAGCTTTTGCCTCGAGGTCAGGTTCGAGTCCACCCTCTTCGTGACCCTCAAAGTAGGTGACATAGAGGCGTTGGGGGTCCAAACCGTAAACCTTCGTCAAAAGTTCCCAAGAGTACCGGATTGCATCTTCCTTGAAATAGTCGCCAAAGCTCCAGTTTCCAAGCATCTCGAAGAAAGTCTATCCATTCATTAAAATCCCTCGTTAGCGTCCGGGTGCTTGACTGGACCATGGCAAACTTGACTCACATGGTGGTAACTGTCCTTTCCCACGTCGTCCAGATCCTGTATTCACCTCTGTCAGACTCTGTTATCTTGCCTGTCGAATCACATGTGTAACTTACATTGTGTTTCCCGCCAGCACGAATGCACTGCCATTTGATTTAGTGAGCAGTTTTGACATCAAAGAGAGTTAGAGACTGACTTTCTGAGAATTTACTGCGCTTTTCAGTTTTGCAAAATCAGATTGCGGATCCACAGTGCCCAGGAAGATGGACTTGAATTGATTCATTCCAGCATTTGTGAAAAGCAATGTTGGATCCGAGAGGGGTACAACAGGAGAAGACGGAACTTAACATTGTCAGTTGATTGATAAAGAGCCGTCAAAAGCCCCAAAAAACATACCGAATGTATGGCCATTTTGTCTGAAATAATCAAGGAATGTGTCGCGAACGCGTTTGGCAGTCCAGAATGGACTGCCTTCGGAGTCTGAAGTCATTCTGAAGTGTCGATGGTTCGTATGGAGTTGATTTTGTTCTGGGGTAGGTGTAGTGTGAAAGTGGTAGAATCTTCTGGGGTTTGACCTAAACGGTAACGGCGGATGACTCAAGGCCATATCCCCATTTCTCATAATTCTGGAAATTCGCATCAAGTGAAGGTCGATGATTCCTTGATCCTTTTTAGACTAAAGACAGTGGATACTAATGAGTGTTCTTAATCTCCAAAAGAATACTTAACTTATCATATTCTTTTGCGCATGTCGTATCTTGGTGGTGGTGGGTGGTTTGAGTTCCTGATGAGTGAGGCACCCCAGCACGGGAAAAAGCGACCCGCAGAAAATGATCCTGATGGTGACCAACCTCTGGCAAAGAAGTTCGGGCGGCTGCAAATAGGTATGTTTGTCCAGTAACACTTTGAGTCATATCATCCATCAACATCGGCGTTCAAATTTCGATGTATAGTCATGGACTAAGACTCTCATCCCATCTAGAACCGCGTTTGTTTGGCACACCTCAGATATGTGGTGGGGGCAAATCTCCAATTCAGTCAAATCCATTTGATACGACTGAGCGGATGATGTTGGATGACACTAAGCATACAATATACATTCATGATCTTGATTCTGAGCTAGCAGATTCTGATGCTCAGGAGTACTCAATCACCTTTTTGCCCGAAATCGGAGCCAAGTTGGGGACTTTGCCGAAGTTATTTACTGTTGATACACAGCCTCAGAACAACGAATTGGTCCTCTACAGGGATCCCAAATCTCTGACCGTTCCAGAGGAGGATGATTATGTGCGAAGAGCCATCCTTGAGTCCAGGAGACGAGCGAGAGCAGCTCAGACTCAGCGCAGATCTGCAGAAAGAATAGTGAAAGAAGTTAAGTCGAATCTTGTGTGTAATGCTGATGAAGATGTAATGGAGATAGATCCTACCATTGAATAAGTTTTATATTTTATTATGTGTCATTTTTCCAGAGATGTATGCTTTTATAGCAGTGGTTGATACCTCCTTGACTTGTGTATTAGTGTATGTTTTACTAGTACATAGTGGAGGGTATTGCTGTGGCCATACAAATAATAAATAATGCCATCTAGAGCAGGCACCTATATTATCAGGGCATACTACACTCATCTAAGTTAATTTAGGTAATCGTCAGGGATACACCCCCCTAACTTAGGGATATACCCTCCCAAATTAGGGACACACCTTCCTTCTGTAATTAGTTAAAATTTAATATTACATAACTATAAATGTACTAGCACTAGGGCTTTAATAAGGGCTAGGGCATAATGCTAGGGTATTATAAGATAGTAATATAATATTATAGATATTTGTATATAGTAAAATATTAGTATAGAGAAGAAATACCGCATAAGATAGTAATAGATAGTAAGAAGCAGGGAATTATACTTATAGTATACCTCCTCTACTGGATAATTAAGTCTTTAAGATAGTAGAGGTAATAATTATATTTATATATAATTATATATATATAGAGGTATATAGCTATATTATTATAGGAGTTTATTTAAATATAACTAAGAAGGAGCCTATCTCTATAAAGATCTACTACTACTATAGCTAAGGAGGAGTCTATAAATATAAATTAATAAAGATAATTATATTTAAGAGATAAAGACTTATTAAATAGACTATTCTTTTAGTATCTATATTTAATATAAGAAGCCCTTTAACTAGTATATAATTATTATATAGAATCTAAACTATAACTACAATCTAGCACCTATCTCCATACTTATATC